GTGTTGTGTCCAGCGCAGTTTGTCCTCGGCCCCTACCCTCAGGGCACCGCCTCCCATTGTCAGGGCAGGGGCTTAAGATGAGGGGAAATGGGTGCACATCTGGCTTTGTCCCTGGTCACTAGCTGTCAGTCCCTCAGTTCCTTCCTCTTCCCTTAATGGACATGGCTGTGTGAGGGCTGCTAGGGGCTAAAAGATGTGGACGCTGGCCGGGGTTTACAGCCCTCTGCCTGTGCTCGGGGTTGTGTCCTTACTGTAGATGAAAGCCCCCAGGTACTGTAGAATGAGGACAGTCATTTCTTAGGGTGCCTCCACCCCTCTTTTCCCTCCAGCATCCCTTGAGGAGACCCTGGGAAGACTTGGTGGTGAGAGGGCAAAGCGTGAGATGGATGGGTAGGACAGGCTGGCAGTACTGGCTGCAGGGGGCTGTGTCCTGTCTTCAGCACAGTGCTGTGCTGGGGAGTGCTTGGTTCTTGTTTTATGGAGTCCTCTGTGCTATATAACTCTTGACAGTTACCTAACATTTTAACAGTTATCTACCTGGGCGAGGCCTCAGTTAGCCTGCATGTTCTGTGCCCATGCCTGGGCCAGCCTCTGGCCACTTAGAATGCCAGAGGGTGTCTCAGCTGGTGGGGACAGCAGACAGGCCTGCTGAACCCAGTGGTGGTACTGGTGCTGTGAGTCTGCAAGTGAGCAGAGCAAGTGAAATATTTAACATGTTTCCTTGCAGACAGGCCCAGTGGAGGGCAGGCTAGACCAGCTGGGCATGTGGGGCACTCTCTGGGCATGAGGCAAGAACAGGGCTGCAGAGCTCCTGGGCTGCTGGATCCCATTTCAGGTTAACACTGACCTACTTCTAGAGACTGCCTTGCTTACCACGCGGGGGGCCAGGTGGCTATGTGACTTAAACACAGGGAAAGTGGGGAAACGTGTAGAAATTGCATAGGCAAGAGGCCTAGAGAACAGGAGATAGAGATGAAGAGATCAGGGTGCATTGTGGAACCAGCCTGGGTAGAGGCGCTGGTTCAGGGGGTGGACAGGTGGTGGGAAGACATGATGGGACAAGGTTAAAGCTGGGTGCTGACTGGGGTTGTATGGCCCAGAGCTGGGTTAGCAATGAGCTGGTCACAGGTGGCTGGAGTTTGTGTCTGAGACTGAATTTTTTTTTTTTGTAAGAGGTTTTTTTTAAAATTAAAAATTAATGTATTTGAAGAGGGTGTCAGATCACCTGGCATCAGTTAAGGCTGGTCGGTTGTGAGCTGCCATGTGGGTGCTAGTGCCTGGACCCTGGGCCTCTGCAGGAGCAGCCAGTGGTCTTAACTGCTGAGCTTCACCTGGCATCAGTTAAGGCTGGTCGGTTGTGAGCTGCCATGTGGGTGCTGGTGCCTGGACCCTGGGCCTCTGCAGGAGCAGCCAGTGGTCTTAACCGCTGAGCCGTCTCTCCAGCCCCTTAAGATTTATTTGTATTCACTGTTCTTGCAGAGGACCCAGCCCCCACATGGTAGCTCACAAGTCTTTGTAACTCCAGTTCCAGGAATGTCTATCGCCCTCTTCTGGCCTCCTCAGGCACCAACATGCATGTGGCACACATACAAGCAGACAGACACTCATAAAAGAAAAATAAGTTAATTAAAAATTTAAAGAGATTTACTCTTATTTATGTGTGTCTATGTGAGTATATGCCATGTGGGTGTGGGTACCCACAGAGACCATAAGAAGGTGCCGGGTTCCCTGAGGCTGGAATTATAGGCAGTTGTGACGTGGGTGATAGAAACTGAACTTGGGGCTTCTGGAAGAGCAGACAGTGCTCTTAACTGCTGAGCCATCTCTTCAACCCTGATTTTTAAAAAAATCATTATTGTTACTATTATTATTATTGTAATAGGAAGTGTTTTAAATGATCAACACACTTGAACTAGGAGTATGTGTGTGCCCCGTGTGCCCTTCCTAGACCCTCACCACTTCAGACATCCGATCACCCATTGGCCTTTAACACATAATAGGCTAGACGTAAGGGCCGGAGACAGGCAGTGCTTTTGGGGTTTGGCTGTGGGTTTGACAGAGAGCCTCATCCTGTGCATCTGGGGCCCTGCACACAGGCTGCTACAGCCTGAGTCATAGTGAGTCGTTTTCTGGCTCACTGAGCTTGTCTGTGGCTGGCTGGGGCTGAGCCACCTGTGGACAGATGACCGCATGGTATTTCCAGGCCAGGGTTCTGGTTCTGCACCTGGTGGCCAACTTTCTGGGGTCTGTTGCTTTAGATAGTGGGGCACAGGTGGAGACATGTGCTCGTTGGGGCCCTTAGAGCTTTTCTCCTCCTGGACAGGGACTTTGGGGTGCTGGGGTGCTCTGAACAGGTACCTCCAGTGTTCCATATCTGTCAGCATGGGTCTTGGTGGTGGCACTGGGCAGCACCTGTGGGCCCCTTGTGGACCAGGCAACAGAAGCTGCCCTTCCTTTAGTTGTTCCCAGTCTTCATGTGTCACCAGCCAGGTCCGGGGGGCAGCAGGTGACCAGGGCCTGGTCCCTGTCCCTACAGACAAGTGTTCTGGTAAGTAGAGCAGCCAAAAGTACAAGCAAGCTAGGTGCTCAGGTGGGGTATCCATGGGCTGGAGGGCCTTGCCCAGAGCCCCTGGTCTCTGCCAGTCCCTTAATCCCAGGCTGTGACCCTCTAAAAGGGGCACATATCCACAGGGCTGTCCACACACATGGCCTATTGTCTTGCAGTGGTCTAGGCACCCTGGTAAGGTGGTCAGGGCCCCTCTGTAGCTGGTGGGGAACTTGTGTGCCATTTTTTTTTTGCCAGGTCAGTAGCAGAATGCAGCTGTAGAGGTGACCACGTGAGTGCCCACTGTGTCCCGGGCAGGCCTGGTTGTACTGGGTGGGGCTGCTTTCTTTCCCTGTGGTCAGCAGGATGCATAGCTGTGCCCGATACCTATGGCAGTGGCGGTGGGACTGTCCCTGGAGCCAGCCCTCTGCTGGCATGGATCTTGGTGGTGGCACAGGGACAGGACAGTGGTAGGATTTACTCTCTGGGAAGCTGTGTTGGTTTCTTTTCTATTGCTGTGACAAAACACCATGGCCAAGACAGCTTACAGAAGGAAGCGCTTATTGGGCTTACGGTTCCTGAGGGTAAGAGTCCATCATGGGGGAGACATCTGAGCACTCACATCTTCAAGCAGGCACAGGAAGCAGCAAAGGGAAACTGGAAGTGGGGCAAGGCTGAGAGCTGTCCTGGCCCACAACCAGTGATGTGCTTCCTTCGACATGGCCGTACCTCCTCCCATGACCTTCCCCAAGCAGCACCACCAACCAACCAAGTGTTCAAATACTTGGGCCTATGAGGGACATTGTCCTTCAAACCACCACAAGAGCCAACAGGAGGGACCTGGGGGGGGGGCGCATGCTCACTCTGACTCCCAGAGGCCTCGCCTTTGCTCTGGAGCCGGTTTCCTCTCTGTACTTGGTGTAGGATAGACATCCTTGGGCTTCCGTTGGAAGGGTGGCTGTCTGTGCTTTGGTTGGGATATAGTGCACTCCAGGCATCTGGCCAGAGTAGCTCTGTGGTTTCTCCTCCGCAGTACCACGGTCAGTACTGCTTTCGTCAAGAGGCTTGGGTGCTGTGGTGGTTTGAATGAGAATGTCCCCCATAGGCTCCAAGTACTTGGACATTTTGTCCCCAGATGGTGGTGCTTTTTTGGGAGGTCTTAGAAGGTGTGGCTATCCTGGAGGAGACATGGCACTGGGGGTGAGCTTAGTTCTTAAGCCTTGCCAGTTGCTCTCCAGTCGCTCTCTTGCTTCCTGTGCCTGCTTGAAGATGTGAGAGCTTAGCTTCTGCTGCTCCTGCTCCAGCCACCTCTGCCACCATGCCTCCCTGCCACAATGGACCATAATTTCCCTGGAACGTGAGCTCAAATAAACTCTTCCTTCCATAAATTGTTTTGGTCGGTGTCTCTGTCACAGCAACAGAAAAGTGACTAATGCAGGTGTGATGGTGTACACTAGCCCCAGTGCCGGGAAGGCAGAGGCGAGAGGATCATGAATTTGAGGCTAGCTTGGACTGTATGGTGAGACCCTGTCTCAAAAACAAAACAACAAAAAAGAGGCTTAGGACCTCACTTAGGGCTCCCCCCCCTTTCTCTCTTCAACTGTGTATGTTTGCTGTGCATGTGTGTGGACGCACATGTGTGCACATGCATGTGGAGACCCGAGTCATCATCCTCGATCATTCTTCCACCTCACTCATTGAGGCAGGGTCTCTTAATCATACTTAGGGCTTGTCGGTATGCCTAATCTCGGCTGGCTGGTTTGCTCTGGGGATCTCCTGCCTCCACCTCCCAGACTGGATTACAGGTGGGGCACTATGCGCCCCCAGGCTCCGTGGGTTCTGGGAGCCCAACTCTGGCTTTCACTCTTGTGTGGCAAGTGCTTATACCACTGAGCCATCTCCCCAGCCCTCATTTAGGATTTTGGTTTTCGAGTTATTTCTTTTTAAAAATTTTTTACTTATTATTTTTATTTTATGTATATATGTGTATTGCCTGCATGTGTGTAAGTGCACCCATGTCATGCAGTCCCCATGGAGGACAGAAGAAGGCGTCTGATCCCCTGGTATTAGAGTTATGGGTAGTTGTTAGCTGCCATGTGGGTGCTGGGAATTGAACCCCCATCTTCTGCAAGAACAGCCAGTGCTCTTAACCACTGAGCCGTCTCTCCGGCTCTTGAGTTATTTCTTGAAGTCAACCTCACTTCAGGTCTGAGACTCATGCCGTCTGAGATCCTGAGGTGGGCAGGTGTGCGGGCACACAGTTTTAGAGCCGTATTTCCTTGTCCCGTAGGTTCAAGAAGATTCAGGTGGGGGGGTCCTGTGATTGTTATGCTGACCTTATGCCCTGGATGCCACAGCTGCTGTTCCCAAGACCCCGGGGTCCCCTAGAACCAATGGGGGGAGTCAAGCCAGGCTGCTTCTGTGTCGCCCTCTGAGCGCTGTGTTTTCCTTCTAGGCTGGTCCAGGGACTCTCATCATGGCGACAGGGGTCCAGGAGTTTAGCAGGACAGAATTTGATCGACTGAACGAGATCAAGGGTCACCTAGAAATCGCCTTACTGGAAAAGCACTTCCTACGTGAGTACCAGAAAGTGCTAATAGGGGACAGGCTATTGCTGGGGCGAAGGCCGAGCCAGGGCTGCTGTCCCACTGATGTGCCTGTCATCAGGATCCCTGTTGCTGGGCTGGTGGGTGAGAAGGAGTATGTTTGGACAATCGTGTGTGAGCCCAAGAGTGTGTGGGGACAGGTGTAGGCAGGGACAGGTGTGGACTTGGATTTCAAACTCTTAGGACATTGAAGTTCCCACATAGCACTTTCTTCCTGAGCTTGTGTCTGTCACTTGTTGCTTCATGGACCCCAGCCTTGGCTTGTGCTTCAAGGGTGGGGTGAGCGAGGGAAAGGAAGGACGTGGTCCACAGAAACTGGGGTGATTTTAGTGAATCTGGGACAGTGTTTCTCCAGCAGTTCATTGAGACTTTTTCAGAGCTTTTTTGGAGGAATCTGTTACTTATCAGGAAGGAGGAAGCGACCCAGGACTCGGTTGTCCGCTGGCCTTGCCCACCTAGCCCGTGCTCCCCAGGTCCCCACCTCTGGGTTACGGAGAGTGGAGGGCCCATTGCAGTTGGGGCCCTTGGATATCTTGGTGATTGCTATTTCTCCTCACCTCCGTGTCTGCTTGGTCTTTCTGGTGAGGAAACTGAGGCATGGGTGACTAAGTCACCCTGCCAGTGGGTAGGGTCCTCAAAGTAGTATAGGCTTAAACCGGGCCAACCAGCCCCAAAGCCACGTGTGTAATTCAGCTGCAGGACACAGTGTTGTCATAGCTGTGCGGGATCCAGGCTATGAGAAAGCAAGATTGGAGGAGCGCTTCAGCCCTGTGTGCCCAGAGCTGGTCACTGTGACCTGTGCAGTCAGGCCAGGCCAAGGGGAGGGGCCTCGGTTGTGATGGCCAGTGCTTGGCCAGAGGCAAGACATTAGGATGGTGTTGTGAGAATTTTCTTCCTAGAGGGGACTAGACAACACCTACCCCCTCCTTCTGAGGTCCTAATGACAAACCACAGTTCAATTCTACCTCAGTTCCCCCAGGCTTGCTTAGGGAGTAACTGGGTGGTTCCCCAGAGCAGCCCGCATGGCTGATGGCTTCCCCGAAGCTGAATGAATGGAGCCCCTCTCCCAGTCCACCTCAATCTATATACTCCAGCCCTTCCCTGAGACCACATACAAGTCATTGCCTACTAGGTAGGGAGGAGTGGCTGGATGCGCAGGTGAGGGTCACGTGACTCTCCCTGCCCCTCCTTCTAGGAGAGAAGTCAGCAGCCAACAAGCCCGGCTGTGATGATGTTTTGCAAGTGAGCACAGCTGAGCTCAGGAAGATGGTGGCAGTTTGGCTTGGAGAGGGCTACTGCACACGGGGGGCGGGGAGGAGCTGCCTGTGTACCCATCACTCGGGAATACTTGGAAGTTGCAGCATGAAGCCGGCCAGAGTCCACAGGGGTGTGGCCCACAGCTGATGGATCATGAAGAAATGGGCCCAAAGCCCATAGGAGGCTGCTCGGCCGTGGGACAGCATTTCTGGCTCCCTAGGATGGAACCCACAATTATTGCCCCAAAGAGCCATCCCGCCCTGCTCCGTGGTGGCTCTTAATGTGGGGGTGTGGCATCCACTCTGGCATCACGGAGGCAGCTCTGAGCAGTTTTTTTTTCTAACTGTGTGTGCAGAAATAGTTGAGCCCTGGCCGACTTCCACACCTGCTTCGGCAGGAGCGATTCTAGGCCAGGCTGGCGTCGGTCCTTCCCTTCGCTGGTGTGCCGGGCAAAGCCCAGCCAGTACCCTATCCCTTTATCTGTAAATATTTTAGTAGGTAGCTCAGTATGTTTTAGAGACAAAAGCTGAGATTGCAAGATGGTAAACAGCAGCGGACTGCTTTTCTTTGATTTCACTGGAGATCCGGCAGGAGCTTGGATTTCCCCACAGGCTTGTGGTTTTTCGACAGCTCTGAATTGGGTCCGTGGGTGGGGATGGCTAGTGTGTCTCCTCAGTCTTTTGGTGGCTTCTCTCTCTGTCCTTGTCCTTGATGACTGGCTCCCGTGGACTACTGTCCTGCCTGCTGTGCTTACCCTATGTAGTGGTGGACGTGGTCAGTCTTTGGAGTGGACCTTTGATTGTGTTGTCATGTGTCGACCCGAGGCTCGCTCTCACGTATCACGGTAATTGCCAGATGTCGTTATTTCATCAGAGTTTGCAAAACGGTCATTTTCTAGTTCTAGTTCTGTGGTTCTTGTTCCATTGATTAATCAACACAGTTCTGAAAACAAATTTCCCATTGCCTTGAAGTGTGGTTCGTGTGGGGAAGGTTGGGACACATGAGTTTTCCCCTTTTATGGACCAATTTTAAGGTAATGATTTGAGGGCTGGAGAGATGGCTCAGAGGTTAAGAGCGCTGGCTGCTCTTGCAGAGGACCTGGGTTCGAGTCCCAGCACCACATGGTGGCTAACAACCATGTTTAACTCCAGTTTCAGCAGAATCTGACGCCCTCTCTGATCTTTGAGGGCATTGCATGACACCGGTGCACTTACGTGCAGGCATTACACATAAAATAAAAATTAAAAATAATAAATAATGTAATGATTTGAACCCTCTGCCGGAGACCAGTGAGGTGCCCCACCTTCACGTTTTAGAATCACCCATAGCCCATGCAAGGAGGTACATTGGCAGTGTTATGATCATGTGGTTTTGACCCATGGGTGCTTGGAAAGTTCTGCCTCTGGGCTGTGGGTGCCTCATCTCTTGGCTTCGGAGTCTTTTTTGCAGTGTGACAAGATAGTCCAGGCCCCTTGCAACCATTTCTTGTCTGAATGCTGGAATTAACTACTTACCAAGGCAACCCTGGGTCTTTCGGGTGGAAGGTGATCTTTAGACACCATCTGCAGATTCCAGGGTGTTCACTGTAGCTGGAGGCCATCGGATGTTGATCTTTTTAGAATGACCAGGGCTAGGGCAGGATGAGTTCACGTGGGTAACCCAGTAGCAGCAGGTGTTCGGAACTCCTGGGTGTCTGTTGGACCTCACTGGGCTCTTGCTGCATCTTCTGCCTGATGCCGACAGTCCTGGTTCTCTGAGGGAGTACCAGCCTTGCCCATTTGTATGTAGCAATGATACATGCAGATCTCTGAGCATGGTGGCTCATACTTGTAATCCAGCATTCAGGAGACTGAGGCAGGAGTGCTACACTGTCTTAGGCAAGCCAGGGATACAGTTGGGACCTTGTCTCAGAAAGCAAAATGAAAACAAAAACGAAACCCACCACGGCCACCACCAACCTTGGGCCCACTAAGCTGGTTTCTGGTTTCAAGGGTTTTTCCCTGAGGGGACGTCTCACTCCAGAAGCATCAGTTCCTTCATTTGAAGAGTCACCCGCACCCTCCGTCTCCATGGCTGACCCTGCTTGATTGTTTCTCTGCATGGCCCTTTTCTTGGCACTTTAGATGCTTAGAGATCGCCTTTGTTTTACTTCAGTTTGTTTTGATCTTATTTCAGACTTAGAAGAAAGTTATAAAAATAGCACAAAGTTTTTTTTTCTATGTATTTTTCACGTGGTTATTCCTCAAAGGGTCACGTTTGCCACATTCGTCTGTCTGCAGTTTTTATCTATCTGCCTAGCCCCCTCCCATCCAACCATCTCTCCACTATGCAGGCACGCGTCCATCCACCCATTTATCTATCTCCCACCCACAGGTCCATCTCTCATCTACCCGTTTATTCACACACACATCCATCTATCTGCCCACACACCCATTCATCTGCCCACATGTCCATCCATCTATCCACTAACATCCATCCATCTCCTGCCCACCCATATCAGTCCACCCACACATCCACATTCCATCCATCCATCCATCCATCCATCCACCCATCCACTGACATGCATATCCATCGCCTACTCACCCACTGATCCATCATCCATCTGTCCATCTGTCTATACATTTTTTTCTGAGTTGTCCTGATGGTCTGTTACAGACATAGTGTTTCTGAGTTCTAAATACTCTACAGTGTTTTCTAAAAGCAAGCATATTTCCCTATATATTATATGCAGCTGTCAACATTAGGAAATTAGCATTGATACAGTGTTTTTTGTGGGGTACTTTACTGCGATCTCACCATTGTCCCCATTAATGTCCCTTATAGTAAAATAAAGTTTTGTCCATGAGTGTCCAGCTTTTTTCTGATACAGGCATTTTTGAGGTGTGCAGTCGGCTGTGGCAGAGTGGGCTGGGTTTTGCCTTTTGCTCCTCACAGAGACCCAAGTCATACAGTTTTGTCATGTCACAGACACAATGTACTGCTCTTTGTGCCCATCAGGACATGCAAGATATCATATCTCATTCTGCATGATGCTGAGGGTTCCTTTTCAAATTAGATTAAATTCTTTTTTAAAAGACATTTTATTTATTATTTTTATTTTATTGTGTACAAGTGTATTGCCTGCATGTATGTGAGTGCACCCGTGTTGTGCAGTGTCGCGGGGGTCAGAGGAGGGCTTCAGATTCCCCTGGAACTGGAGTTAAGGGAGGTTTGTAGCCGCCATGTGGGTGCTGGGAATCGAACCCGGGTCCTCTACAAGAGCAGTCGATGCTCTTAACTGCTGAGCCATCTCCCCAGCCCCTCAAATTAGATTAAATTCTTATAACAACTGTCTAGAATTGTTGCACTGGGGGTGTATGCAGCTCAGCAGTAGAGTACTTGCCAAACGTGTGAGGCCCTGGGCTCCTTCCACAGTGCTGGAAAAAATCCAACAACAAAACCCTACACGCATGTTTACAGTAGCATGAACCTGTAGTCCCAGCACCGGGGAGGCTGAGGTCAGGAGGTCATTTGAGTTCTGGAATTCAGTGCCAGCCTAGGCAGCATAGGAAGGCCCTGCTTCAAAAGAAGATAAACAAGGTAAGGTCAAGTTATACAGAGAACTTGAGTCTCCCAGTGCCTGCTCCTTCCCATCCTCTGTGGAGTTTTCTTCTAATTTATGCTGATTCCCTCCACTGATCTTCTTGTTTGGTCTTTGCTTCCCCTTTAGATAA